TTTCCCCTTCCTTCTTCTTCCCTTAGGATCGTCCAAGTACAATCTTAGTGAATTATTTTCAACTCAATTATTTTCCGTTTTAAAAAAAATCAACAACCTGTTTAGTAAACCGAGTAAGAAAAAATTAAATCATATTTCTATGAATATTTCTAATAATGCAAGGTGCCACAATATCATACGAATCTCATAACGATTTTAACAGTAGCAGTCTACCTTGAGTGGCTCTTGGACCTTGCATTGTGCTAAATTTAGTATATATAAAAAAGAATTCACTTCAAAATGCCTACTATGTCAGGAGGACTGCCATTATAGGATTTCTAATTGTCAGCAACAAATAGAATTGAAACAGGAAACAAAGAAATGGTTTCGTAAATATTCCCAAATATTTTTTCGTCGATGCTGTGACCACGGCTCTCCAAGACGGCCTATTATTTTTCTCTGTAAGCAATGATTACAATATCCCATCCCTCCCTGTTCAGCCGTCTATTTACACAAGCTTTTTAGTTAGGTTATTCGATGATTTGTCCTCTGGCTCTTGCTTTCAGAATGTCCCGAGAGTCTCAAATACTCCACGTCATATTTCATCCTTATGCCTCCCAGAAATACCAAGACTGTCCTTTTTGTACCATTAAAACTTCCTCATTGTTCATATGTTCTGTCAATAGCATTCTCAGTATCTTTTTATAGAAACACATCTTTTTTGCGCCAACCCTCCTCTTTATCCATTTTTCGACATTCACTCCATACAGGAGGTTTGATATTACATTGCAGTTCAGCACTTTTTCTTTGTTTCTTACGAAATTTACCTGTTCCTTACTTTGCTTTGTTTTTGGAAAGCATCTTCCACTATTTCGGTGCCGCATATTCCGTCATCCTTTTAAACAACTCACAATTAAATTTCTGTACATTCTTGAAGTGAGCATATTTGTTTGAATCAATAGTTTGCTTCTGAAGTAAAAGCTCAAAGAAGAGCACTAACTTACAATTAAGGCCTTTCTTTGATACGGTTATTGGTAGTTGATTTCGTTTTCTCCACCAATTGCATTTGACATTGTTGTAAAGTATCCACTTTTTATCGCCCTTATCGTTACGTGAACGCTTCAGAGAAAAACTGGTGCAAATGATTTTTGATTCAGATATTTTATAATCTTAGCTATATCGCAGATCGTATAACGTTTGATAATATATATATATATATTATAAAATTTAATTGTTCCCCCAAACATTTTTGGCTACTCTCAGTTTCATGTGTAAACAGCGGTAGTGAAAAACAAAGAAGCACACACGAAACTGACAGTAGCGGAAAAGTTTGATTAGAAAATGTAAAGTTTATTATCCTTTTATATATATATATATATATATATATATATATATATATATATATATATATATATATTTTTGCTCTGTATTTCAAAATTTTACACATTGCCTAAAGCCCCATGCTTATTTACAGCACTGACGTCTTTCTAATTTTATATACAAAAAAATTATTACTAAAACTGCAAATATCAATGTTTGATGTTCTTTCTCCGGCTTCAAAGTTACTTCAAACAAACATTCCTCAAGGGGTTTGTTGTTATGTTGTAGCATACATACGGACGATAATGGGTATGTCCCCATTCGCATAAATACAGTAGTAAATACTGTATGTTGATCTGAAGTTGGCGATTCGTCTCCAGTTGTGCTGGCCAAACTCTCTGGATCCCCAGACGAGGCTATGTCGAAGGGCAGAGTCTCGACTCGGAAAACAGCTACTCGATCCCGTTTTATACGGGGTCTAAGGGGAATTTTTGACCGAGATTACGGGCTCGGATACCCCACATTAAGTTCGGCCTTTTGCCACATCTGACCGCGTGGGGCAGTTTGTAGATATCTTAGAGTAGGAGATTCATTGTGGAATTCACTTGACTCACTTCTAACAGTTGACTACGCGCCGCTGGCGAATCTTATATGTGTTGTTCTTGTCCTAAGTATTATCGTTCATTACCAACCTTCGTTTGATTATTCTATTCAGTAACCTTCCCTAGGTTACAACATGTTTGTTTCAAGCAACAGATCCCTTGAAGAATGTTTGTTTTAAGAAACTTCGAATTTCATCAAAGAATGAGAAATGGAGAAAAAAATTGTTATTTTTTGTTAGCTTCAAAAGTCTCTCCTCGGGTTCGGTACGCTATAAATTATACTAACGCTGCTTAACAAATCAAATGCACATGAAGACTGCTTAACCAACTAAAACTCAAACAATACAAAAATAAAAATACGAGAATCTATTTCGATATATATATATTCATTTCAAAGAAGCGATAATGCCTGGCGAGATATAATAAATAGTGGTTAGTGTAAGTAATATATGATGTGCGTTACACATAAAACGACGCACTTTATAGGAAATGAATAAAACGCTTCTGAAATGTTAAATAACTAAATTATTTAGTTGAAGTCGAAAGCATGTTGATGAATGACTCTTTTCCAACGTACCTCTAAATTATTGATCCCATCTTTAAAAAAATTATCATCCTTTGATGTGATAAACTTTTCAAATGCTTCGATTATCTCTTTCCTTATTGGAGAATGTTTTATTGCGCGTGAAAAGCTCAAAATGCTTGAATAAGTGATAATCAGAAGCAGAGGTATCAGGTGAATATAGAGGACGAAGCAAAATTTCATAATTCAGGCTATGCAGCTTTTTGGACATTTGATTGAGAAGCGTGCAATCCGCATTTACAAGTTGACAATGTTATTTTTTCAGTTTTTCGTGCACCCACTCAATTTCGCGACAATACGAGGTTTCTGTTATTGTTTCTCCTTGACGCAAATAAATAACCCCTTTGAAGAACCACCATACAGTAACCATTAACTTTTAAGTTGTAGTGGATATTTTGGGTATTAGTCAGGCCATATATATATATATATATATATATATATATAGATAGATAGATAGATAGATAGATAGATAGATAGATATGTATTACTTGCATAAAATATTTTGTAACGAAAGAGAATAAAAGGAATCGATTATGCATTAAAGAAAGACAAAACGAAAAACGCTGCGTATTGTAAGACGTTGGGTTCGACGGAAAAAAGGGAAAAACGAAAAATGTTGATAAAATTACTTCACAGGGTGCGAGTGAAAGACACGGATAGATAGATAGATAGATAGATATGAACGAACAGAGATAGATAGATAGATAGATAGATAGATAGATAGATAGATAGATAGATAGATAGATATGCAAAGACTCAGATAGATAAATAGATATAAACAGACTCAGATAGATAGATAGATAGATAGATATGAACAGACTGAGATAGATAGATAGATAGATAGATAGATAGATAGATAGATAGATATGAACAGACTGAGATAGATAGATAGATAGATAGATAGATAGATAGATAGATAGATAGATATGAACAGACTGAGATAGATAGATAGATAGATATGAACAGACTGAGATAGATAGATAGATAGATATGAACAGACTGAGATAGATAGATAGATAGATAGATAGATAGATAGATAGAAAGAGAAATGTGAGTATGAGGGAGAATGAGAACTATAACTCTCGATTACAGCGGCCTAAGAAAGGTTTTTAAGCCAGGAGAAATAAACTATATCCAATTTAATAATTAAATTATGTAATCCCAACTCAACATAAATAAACAGTACTTGGATAGGTACTCTGGTATAGAGTAGGTCCTCCATTTGCTAATTTCGGTGCTTGTATTCGATTTTTCATGGATTATCAACAATCGTCTGATCCATATTTTGCCACTCCTTTAGCAATGTTTCTTTAAGAGATGTGATTTTGGTTGCACGCTCTCGAAGTTTTCGGTCAAGGTGCTCCCAAATATGTTCTATTGGATTTATGTCAAGACTTTGGGCTACCCACCGCAGTGACTTGATTCCTTGCGATTCCTTCCAGGCCTTTATTACTTTGCTCGTATGATACAGAGCTCCATCTTTTTGTCAATCTGATTGTTTTCAAATAGTGGGACTAGTTCTTTCTCTAATATTTGACAGTATTTTGAACCATTCAATTGCTCGTCAACAAGAATCAGCTCAGGTTTTCCCCCAAACCAGACAACGCCCCACCCTATGCGTCACGGTTGCCTGCAGAAATCCAGTGTTTCAAGTCTCATTCTGATTTCTCCAAACACAAACCTGTCTCGAATTCGAATATTGGCTGAATTTACTTTCATCTGACCAAATTGCAGACTCATAAACTTCATGATCGTTGCCCAGTCCATATGACTGTTCCTGTTAACCTCTGAAATCAAGGGCTTCTTTCTTGCAACTCTTCTGTGATAGCCTAGCTCTTTTAGAGTCTTTCCCACTGCGTTTGGCAACATTTCCATGCTGTTGGCGACATCTTTGACGTTCTGACAACGGTTTCTGATGATTTTCCTATTCAGTGCCCTTTTCGTTCACACAGACACGATGCTTGGTCTTCCTGAACGTCGTTCCACATGACAATGGCCTTCTGCATTAAATTTCTTGACAATATTGTTAACCGTTTGATGATTAACCTAGAAAAACCTAGCAATTTCTCTATTTGACTTGCCACACTGATGTCATCCTATTATTTGCCCTCGTTGAAATTCACCAATTTTCTTACGCGAACTTTCATTGCAAAATATAAGTCAACTATCGTACAGAGATGAGTGTGGCTTGATACTAACACGGTATTGTCTGAAAAAAGAAGAAACGTTATTACACAAGCCAAAATTGCTGTAATCAAGGGTGGCTAAAACTTATCATAGCCCACTGTATATTTCAAGAACTACTGTTGCTTTTCAAAGCTAAACAATATGTAACGACTCTGTTTTTTGACACTCTGAACTGATTTCAATCGAGGGAAGCATGCGATAATATCTGAGGTCCTATTCGAAGAATTGTCTTTTATTTTTTGTTTTTTGCTTTATTGATTAGAAGCTTGTGAAATAAGATGTTTTTTTCTTTTTTTCCGGGAAAGGGTTGATAGATCAGAATATATTCAATGTCTCCTCCTGCTGTGTCGTGAAAAGCAAGGCACAGACGCCCTATCAGATAAGGAAATATTACTTCGAAACCCAGAAGACAATACATTCCAAGCAAATCTTTTCGTTATAGGAAAATGTATCGAAATAATTCAATATTCTCTTCCAAGAAATAATTAAAAAAAAACAAACAAACTTCAGCTGGCCGAATACAAAATCAAGGGCTCAGGTACGTTTTCGAATGATGTCTTTTATATGCATTTTCTTTTTAAATTTTAAATGGCTACGAAACCAAAACATCAACCTGAAAATTCAAGCAATGTTCTTAAATAACCTTGTCAGATCGAGACTATTATATGAATGTTATCGATGGTGTCAAACCCGTTCAGAAATATCTAAGTTATCGGCTGTTTGGTTGTTTTTGTTTAGCGGCATATCAACACCTCTATGGGTTATTTAATGTCGAAGTCTTAATATTTTGTACATAATTTTATACTTTTATAGTAAATGTATGTTTTTAGATATATAGTTGGTAGATCATAAAATGTAATGTTAGTATGTATGTATGTATGTATGTATGTATGTATAGCTGGCCACGCATATTCGGGAATACCCGTCTACTAGTGCAGCTAATCAATCCCTATTGCAGATGCACACTTAGGCGCATTTGCCTTTATTCAACATCCACAGAGTTCGCCTGTGGTTTATACTGCAGCTATGCTGAGCAGATCTTAGTTACAGTTTCTGGGAAAGAGCGTGTTATCTAGCGTGATCATCAATTTGAACAAAGCCAGAACGCTCGATCCCTCAGCCACGATGTCATGTGACTTCGTGCTATCACAGCTATCGACGGCCCTCAAGGATTCCGTGTACCTAATTTCACTCACAAAACTTGGATCAACCTGTGGTTTTCAGGCAACTTCCAAAGGTACCACGCGCTGAGATCGACACCTCCAGTCCGATAACATTCTTTCTAAGCTGAAAAATTAGTGTAATTCTCGCAAATCAGGGCACTCGGTGAGGATCGGACTCACTACAATACTATTTTCATGTCATTCTTCGCTGGTATTATATTTTAAAGACAAACCAGTTTTATCTGACACAAGGCCACAAGATGAGAGTATCCCAACTATGATAATTATTGCGCCTTTTTCCGAGTAGCCTATCTACTAAGATGGTTAGTTAATTCCTGTTGCAGACACCCGTTCAGGCGCTTTTGTGTTTTTTTTTTTCAATACCCAAGGAGCTAAGCTGTGTATAATACTGCGAAAATGCTGGACAGACCTTAGAGTTTCTGAGAGAGAGCGCAACATCTTGTGTGAACAGTAATATTTGAAAAAGGCAAGTCCTCTCAAACTCTCGGCCATGTTGACTTGGTCCTGGCGCTATTATCGGCGGCTTCTTAACAGTTTCGTCCATCCAATTTAATTCATGAAACTTGGGTTTAAACGCGTATGGTTTTAAGGCATTTTTCACAGGTGTTGCATGCTGGGATCGTATTTCAAGGAGGACATTTCACGCCATTGAAAAATCGATCATGATTAGATTTGAGCCTCGTGTCCTATACCCTAATGTTCTAACTACTCAACCACGCATTCATCTTTTATAAACGATACTCAATTATCAACCATTATTTTTAGTAGACATCTTGAAATATAGATATCTACTAAGTTTATATTAATCCGGTGCTAGGCCTATGTGCGGCACGACGGGAAAATCGAACACCACATGGGCAGCATAAAAAAGAATCTTAGTTTAGAGCAGTTATGGGCAGCATTTTTCAACTACTGAGTTGTATGAGATATACAGGGGTATATGTATGAGTGGCCAACTAGGAGTCCTGACTTAAAAACCTTTTTTTCTTTGGGGTTGGTTAAAGGAGCAAGTCTACTATATTAAACCAAGACTTTGGAAGAACTTGAAGGGAGAATACAAGAAGTTATATCTTCCATACCACAAGAGAACCGGATGAAACCAATTGGCGCGATTCCTGGGCGACTCGAAAAGCTGGTAGCGAAATCTGGTGTCCACATTGAATCTTACTTATTATAAAATGCAGATTGTGTGTGTGTCTGTACGTTTATATATTGGATCGGATTTCCTACATTTTTTAACCGATTTCAACAAAACTTCACAGGACTGCGTAAAATTACATTGCGGTGGTTCTGACAGCGCCAAAAATCGGAAAAACACAATTGTTTTTGCACGAAATCAATTTGAAAACACGATAAAACACGATTCTGTCACCAGAATGAAAGGGGGACAACTCATATCGAGTTATACTTATTATAAAACCCAGGTTGTTTGTTTGTTTGTTTGTTTGTGTGTGTGTGTGTGTGTGTGTGTGTGTGTGTGTGTGTGTGTGTTCGTTTATATATGGGATCGGATTTCCTACATTTTTCAACCGATTTCAACAAAACTTCACTTTTATTTTTGCAGGTAGTGTTTCTTATTGTCTTGCACACTTTTTTTTTTTTATTTTTACATTCAGAATGCTTTAAAATTTCCATTTACAAGACAATTGTTTATAATAAAATTCTATTCAATCGGTAGACTCATAACAATTGAAAACAATATTTTTGTTTGAGTTTGGGTTTGATCAATTCGTAAAAAAAAACCCCAAAAAACAACAACAACAACAACAACAACAAAAACAACTAATTAAGACATGCGTGTCTATCATCCTTAAACAATATTCTTTGTCAATTTTATTTTTCAGTCTTCATGATGGTCGATACTTGATCTATCTCTTACTGTTACATCCCCGGGCAACGCCCGGCTGTACTGCTAGTTTTAAATAAAACCTCATGCAAAACGCTTTCCTCTCATATCCATCCCTTTTAAAAACTATAGTTAATAAATAAATAAAAAGTATTTTAAAATTTGGAGTTACTTTTTAATCAACTATAGTTCATCATAGTGCTGATCGCACTACTAAAAAAATTAAAGCTGTCATTTCCACCACAGAAGATTATACGCAGAAGCATCTGCTTTAGGAATGGGAAGAATTCGATATTTTTTTCTTTGGGGAAAAGATTATTTTTATAATCAAAATAATTGAAACCTTTCTATAATATAATCCCTAATGACAAATGTGATTAAAATACGACACTGCATGTAATTTGTTTTCAGTTTATTCATTTGAATATGGAAACATAATTTATTTTTAAAAAAAAAAAAGAAGGTATATTTCTACTCCAGAGAAAACAATATGAACATTTCCTGCTTCTAGATCAACTGAGGTTTACACGTATGATCTTCCTTACTGAAAATCGCTAATAGTTTAAATTGAGGAAAAAATCTATCGTCAACAAAAGGTTAAAAATTCCAAGAAACATTGTACTTCAACATTATTTCTCTTTGTGGTTATATATGAGAGCGTGTGAGTGAACAAGTAAGAACAAATGAAACCAACATTTTAATAAACGTTATTTTCAAAACGAAATTATGCGTATCATGCAGAACGCCAATCGGACAGGACCGCATTGTAGCCGGCGGGCCACTCTGGTTTTGCTGGTTTTGAGTATAACAAAAAATATCGGGTGGATTGATTGATTTTTTAATGGTTTATAAACCTTTTTCATAGGTTTTTTAAAACCAGAAAATATTTTTAGACTGTAAGAATGTTCTGGAGATAATAATGATTTATTGATCTTGCATATTTATAAGTCTACCATTCATCCATGCTTAGAATATTGCTGCCATATATGGTCCGGTGCCCCTGCTATTTACCTCACGCTCATCGATAAGATCCAAAGAAGAATCTGCAATATTATTGGTCCTGTTCTGGCGGCTCGGCTTCCGTCACTTTTCCATCGCCGTAAGGTTGCCTTTCTGAGCATTTTTATAACTACTTTCCGTAAGTTCTATTCAAACAATATCTTATCCCGCAATTCTCGCTCCCGGCTCCGTGCTTTCCAACTAGCTTTAATCTGCAAAAATTTAAATGCAATGTCAATCGCTATCTACTGTCTTCTTGATTACTCTTTTCTCTTTTGTAATGTTTTTTTTTTTTTTCTATTTTCTCCACACCCTTGCGTCTTAGTAGCTGTACTGCCTTGCTTGGGGTGATGCCATTTTTAAAAAAATTACAAGTCCTAATCTCTATCTATCTTGTTAACATTCTTTTTTCATTTGGTTTTTCTAGTTACGAGTCCTTTTTTAAAGCTGATCGTTTTGTGTTCATTTTGTTTAGTTCTTTTTTCGTAACAGATATAATGTTTAGTATAGAGCTTAGAAAAACTTCGTAGTGTGAGATAGACAAGAAGTAAGGCATGTAGCAACATCAGCACGGCAAAGGACACTCCTTTAAAGTCAAGGAAGGGCAAAAATATTTTAAGTCAAGTGATCGCGATTGCTGTATGAGTCGTACGATTTTTGAATCAAGTACGGGCAACGCCGGGCCATGCTGCTAGTTAATAATAATTATATTAGCTAGGGGGAGAATTCACACCTTTTCCAAGGGCATTTGCGCGTAAGTGAATGTAACGATCTTGTCCGTGATTGGAACTCGGTTCTCTGATTTCCAATTCCGAGCCATTATTTGTTACCCCAGCCGCACAACAAAGCTTCCAGCACATGCGGTCACCCATCTAGGTACTGACCAGGCTTGACGTTGCTTAACGTGACGTGGTCGTAATTCTAAAAATGTCGGGAGCATCTCCTTAAGGATAAAACTGCCGAAGTAATGAGGCTATTTCGAGATAAGCTTGCTAACCTACAATCTACGGCTGTTTCCATCTGTATAGGCATTTTGAAGTCAGACCACCCAAGTTGTAAATAATTTGGGCGCTTGTTTTTCTTGAATTCTTTTTTTTTTAGCTTTCTTCCTTTCTTTCTTTCTTTCTTTCTTTCTTTCTTTCTTTCTTTCTTTTCCTTCTTTCTTTCTTTCTTTCTTTCTTTATATTCCTTCCTTCCTTCTTTCTTCCTTCCTTCCTTTCTTTCTTTCTTTCTTTCTTTCTTTCTATTCCTTCCTTCCTTCCTTCTTTCTTCCTTCCTTCCTTTCTTTCTTTCTTTCTTTCTTTCTTTCTTTCTTTCTTTCTTTCTTTATACTCCTTCTTTCTTTCTTTATACTCCTTCTTTCTTTCTTTCTTTCTTTCTTTCTTTCTTTCTTTCTTTCTTTATATTCCTTCTTTCTTTCTTTCTTTCTTTCTTTCTTTCTTTCTTTATATTCCCTCTTTCTTTCTTTCTTTCTTTATATTCCTTCTTTCTTTCTTTCTTTATATTCCTTCCTTCTTTCTTTCTTTATATTCCTTCTTTCTTTCTTTATATTCTTTCTTTCTTCCTTTCTTTCTTCACATTCCTTCTTACTTTCTTTCTTTATATTCCTTCTTTCTTTCTTTATATTCCTTCTTTCTTTCTTTATATTCCTTCTTTCTTTCTTTCTTTCTTTCTTTTGTTATCGATCTGTTCTTTATTCTTCTTTGGTTATTTTTTCTTTCATCTATGATTTATTTTATTCATTCATTTGTTTGTATCTTTCTTTCTCCTTTGATATTGTCGTCCCTTTCTTTCTTTTTTGATTTCTTCCTTTCTTTCCTTGTTCTCTTTTTCAATTTTCTTTCATTCTTTATTCGTTTTCTCATTATCTTTCCTTTTTCTGATTTTCTCTTTTCTTTCTTTCTTTCTTTCTTTTTTTCTTTTTTGTTCTTTAATCATACTCTTCTATTCTTTCTTCCTTGAGGCTTACGGCTACGCCACATTGAAACACTGGCTCTCGTCCAGCAACGTCGATCCTGATCAGTATCTCGATGGTTAACCGATTGGGAATACCAGGAGCTGTAACCCAGGATATGCGGGTGGTGTAATGGATAACTGCTCCGGATTGGAAATCGGAGAGACGTGTTCCAATTCCAGTCACTTTCGCGTAAATATCCTTGGGAAAAGTAGGAATCCACCCCTAGGCATCCATCCTTAGCTAAGACTTAATTTGTAGGACTTGTATCAGTATATCATTATTATCTTCAAAAAAAATTATTAAATTGTGAAAAATATTTTCTGGATTTAAATAACCAGCCATCATCAGTCTTACTTGATGTATTTATTTCCCTTTCATTGATTTAATTGTTTTTGTTTTGATCTTTCATTCCCGAATTTGATCTTTTCATTTATTTATCAGTTTTCTATCATTTTTTTTCATGCTTGATTTTTGTTTCTTCGATTTTTCAAATTTTTTTCTGTTATTTTTCATTCTTAATTTTTCTTTTTTTCATTTTGCTGCTTTCTTTTTTCTTTATTTTATACTTTCTTTCTTTTATTCTTTCCTTCTTTTTCTTTTTATTTCTCTTTTTTCTTTCTTTCTTTCTTTCATTCTTTTATACTTTCTTTTTATTTCTCTTTCTTACTTTCTTTTATACTTGCGTTCTTTTTTATTTCTCTTTCTTTCTTTTTTATACTTTCTTTCTTTTTATTTCTCTTTCTTTCTCAATATTTTCATAATTCTCTTCTCTTTTGTTTGGCTTGTTACTTTTATTCACATTAATTCTTTCTTCGTTTGTTTACTCATATCTATGTTTCTTTCAGTCTCATTTTGTTCGTTAGTTTCTTTCTTTCTTTCTTTCTTTCTTTCTTTCTTTCTTTCTTTCTTTATCATGGCACTTTACAAGTGAATAATGGCCGACGCTCGAACATTGTCGAACTCCCACCACGTTAACATCTGCACAAATTTGACCTTATGTTTACTCTTTTTCCTTTATATTTGAAGGAAATGAATGCGTTTTTTTGCTAAAAGCAGGAATATTTATTTCGATTTATCTTTTTTGCATGTCGACTTGGCTTCCCCCTCTGTTTTTGTTTGTTTGTTTTTGTCGTATCATGTTTCAACTTTCGTTTTTCAAAATGGATTACATTAAGTGGGGGGGATTATTTGTAGTACTGCTTGTTTTTTCGTTTTTTTTTTTTTTTTACAACTGTTCATGTTATAGACACTTCATTATATGTTAACAATAAAGACACTAGACTGATTGAGAAGAAGCAGTTCAGTTTCAATATGAACCACTTACGGTAATAGAATAACACACACAAAAAAGGAAAGTAAACATGACAGGGTAGGAAGAGATATGCACAAGGAACTGTCAGACGAATTGATGTAACCTCATGTATGTATGTATATATAATAATAACATGGATCGAACATGTGAGCAATTTTTACAGACAATGGAAACAAGAAGGATACTTGTACTTAACATCAGGATGGGACAGTCGAAATTTCTAGGGCACATAATGAGGAAAGAGGGCTTGGAAAATCTGATACTCACAGTGAAGGCAAAAGGAAAAAAACGCAATACCTATTTCGCGAGCTTGAGTAAATGGATGGCGGGTCAAGATTTAGGAGAGACAATAAAAAGACAAAATTTGAGATATGCAAAAGACAGAAAAATGTGGAGAGCCATGATCGCGAACGTCCTAAATTAACACAGTAGAAAGAAGAAGAAGAATATTCTGAAAGTAGCGAGTACAAGTGTCCTCTTGTTTCCATTTATTTGTAAATACGTATTTGTATTGTACTTTGTTTTTATAATAAAATGTGACGTCGCCAAAATAAGTTATTCACAGTATTTTTTCATAAGGTTAGATATTATTTTAAGACTTTTTTATGTTTAACATTTTTTTATTTCTCTTTCTTTCCTTCATTCTTTCTTTTTATTTCTCTTTCTTTCTTTCTTTTTTATACTTTCTTTCTTAATATTTTCATAATTCTCTTCTTTTTTGTTTGGCTTGTTACTTTTAATAGATACAAATATTTAAGTAAATGCTCTGTTTATAATAAACAGTATTAAACAACATTTAACGGCCTGAATGTCCGAGAAATTTTCACAGAAAATATTCGTTCTCCGACAGGATTCGAACCTGTATCCTATACGGAACCGTCATTTAGCTTGACGTGCCTTTACCGATTTGGCCACGTAGGAGCGTTCGGTTAGCAAGGTCAAATTTACTGTATCAATAAATATGTTGTGAAAATTTTAACGACATCATTTCAGTAATACCAATTTTAATATCACAACATTGACTTTCATTACTACATGTTACGTTGTATATCTGTCTATATATTAGCACTTAAATATTTATTTAAATAATGTTAATTCAATGTCAGTCGTCAAAATTCCCTGTCCCTTTTAGCTCTTAATATATTTTGTCTTTTTGTTTTGTCTCCTAAACCGTGTTCCGCCATCCATTTACTCAAACTTATTAAGTATGTTATGCGTTGTTTTCTTCTCTTGCCTTCAATCTGTCCCGTGGGTATTGGATTTTCCAAGCACTCCTTCCTCATTATAAGCCCCAGAAATTACAACTATCTCTTTCTGGTGCTAAGTATAAGTTTCCTTTTTGTTTCCATTTGCATTATAGTAAATGGAAACAAAAAGAAAACTTATAAATTAGAACCTCGTCTTGCTTACATGTTCGGTCCATGATATCCTCAGCATCCTCCTGTAGAACTACATTTCTGTTGGTCCAAGTCTTCAGCTGCCAGGAGATTGTCCAGCATATTTTCTGACTGTGTAGTGTACTTTCGTTTACCTTTTTAATTTTGCTTATATATATTTTGTGGATATTCCTAAAATCGGTCATTTTTTGTTCTTATATATATATATATATATATATATATATATATATATATATATATATGTGTGTGTGTGTGTGTGTGTGCGCACGCGCGATTGAATAAATTACATACATTATGTCTGCTAATTTTAACAAAATCCGTTCATACTCACGAATAAATCTTCCTTGTATTGATGTTAAATGATGAGAGAAATTTGCTATAACTGTTTACATTTCTTTCATTTTCATTTCCCAAGTAGTTTCAATCTTTTTCCAAGATCATCTTCAGAGGTACAAATAATACAAAACTATATGCTGTTCATTAATATAAGTGTTATGCCATATTACCTATTCTATTGTAATGGACTCTCCCACAGATAATAAGTAACAAGTAGTAGTAGCAGTGGCCAGTTCGGCTCAGTGGTGTTGAGCGAGTCAGTCGATATCGGACATTGAAGTACCAACCAGCACAACTAGATTGCTGCGTCATTAACTCTTATTTTCCAAGTTCCTAACGTTTTGTACGCCGAACCTAATTTAGGACGACTTATTGAAATAAAAGCCTCCACTGTGAAAACTACTCCACAACAATAAGTAATTATCCAAAGTTCTGCGTTGTTATCCATTACCGTATATTTTTCATTATGCTTTTAAATACAAAATGGTTGACAATGGGCTGAGCGTTCATTAGAACGTGGAAAAATTATCCATTATGGAAATTTTTTCTCTCTAAGTTATATTTAAACAAATTAATTTAAACAGCTATAGCAGATTTCTCTTCTTCTTCAACATCAATATACGGAAGGTTATTCGTGAGTATGAACGAATTTTGTTAAAACTTGGCAGACATAATGTCGGTAATTTATTTAATCAGACATGCCTAAAAAAGAATTTGCTGCCTAAATACACACACACACACACACATATATATATATATATATATATATATATATGCATGTATGTATGTGCGTGTGTGTATGCGTTAAAGTAAGTATATGCATTCATATTCAAACAACAAATAAAATTTAATATAAACATAACGTCCGATAATTAATAGTTTAATACTTAAGATACCACCAAATCAAGCAAGAAAAATTAAATAATGGGCAAGTGAAAACATATATAAATATTTACCTTAGCATTCAAGAATTAATAATGAAAAATTATCTAAGTGAAAAAATGAAATAGACCTACATTTTCCAAACTCAAGAAAGCCCTAGAATCCTCAAGAATTACTAAGAGTTGAGATTGTCTGCCAGATTGAATATCGGATAGCTACATTTGTCTCTGACACTCAAACTTGAAAGAGAGAAAAAGGTATAAATACCAATAAAGAGAGAGTAATAAAGACAGAAGAAAAACAAAGAAAAAGAGAAATGACCAAAACAATCTAAACGTACACACAAGCTCTGACAGGTGCATGCACACGCACGCACACACACACACACAAGCAATGAAAGAAAAAATCAACATGGCACCAATGAAATGTGCATAAATTATTTTTAACTCAATATAAAAGTGAGGAGAAACGAGGACATGAACAGTCAATTTTTGGCATATTCTGACGAGTGGACAGAGTGATTGCTGGACGATCCCTCTACGAAACTCTAGAGTGGAGATGCTGAAAATAACATGAATCAGGTAAATGACAAATTTTATATTTGTATTAATCCCATATATATATATGTGTGTGTGTGTGTGTGTGTGTGTAATCATTTTCCCCCCAAGCAAAGCGATAATTTCACTAACATGCAAGAGTTTACTGGGAATGAAAGAGAATGAGAATAATTTAGCAGAAGCAGCCGAAAACCCAATTCTAAACAGGAAACAAGTGATGAACCTCTACTCCTGTTCAAAAGATCGGGAAGGAGTGGGAACCGGGCGAAAATATGTGTCCTTCGACAGGAACCGAATTTGTTTCCTACACGGAACCACCATTTGACCTGACGTTCTGTACCTACAGAGGAAACGTCTTGATAGCAAAGTCAAATTACTGTTTTTAAACAAATTTCCCATGATTTTTCTCGAACGCTTATATCCGCTCGAAGCGTATCTTACGTAAATAAATGACATTATATATTGTGAAATAGACTAAGTTCGACATTTAATTCAATATATTTTCTGTTTATACGTTATTTTTATACATACAAATATTTAAGTAAATGCTCTGTTTATAATAAACAGTATTAACTACATTTACTGGCCTGAATGTCCGAGAAATTAAAATAATTGTAGGACTTACTACATTTCATAATACATATATATATATATATATATATATATATATATATATATATATATATATATATATATACTGAAGTGGACTAAGTCCTACAATTATTTTAACATATTTTCCGTTTATACGTTATTTTATAGATACAAATATTTAAGTAAATACTCTGTTTAAAATCCAAATGGCACGCCTGGAGTATGCGAGAGAACATGTTGTTTGGACTGACGCACAGTGGGATACAGTTCATTTCAGTGATGAGTCCAAGTTTACTATATCTGGTTCTGGGGGCAAAATTTACGTACGCCGTAGAACGGGCGAAAGACTGTTTTCTCAATGTGTCAAGAAAACCGTTAAGTTTGGTGGCGGCAGTGTGATGGTGTGGGGAATGATTTCATCTGCAGGAGTTGGCCCTATCATCCGCGTACATGGCAATATCAATGCTGAGATTTACAAAAGGCTTCTTCAGCAGCATGTGGTACCAAGATTACACCATAATCTTTATGGATTTTCTTATTTTCATGCAGGACAATGCACCTTGCCACAAGGCTCAGAAGGTTATGGCTTTATCTGAAGAAGAAGCAATCGCCGTAATGAAGTGGCCAGCCCAGAGCTCCGACCTGAATCCAATAGAAAATGTTTGGAAGATAATTGGAGAATGGACTCAGAAAAGAAACCCGAAAAAACAGGATCACCTATGGGAGTTATTGAAAGACGAATGGGAGGGAATTACTGCTGATTTTTGCAAGAAATTAATTAGATCATATGGCCGACGATGCAGAGAAGTCATTGAAAATAAGGGAATGTTTACCAAATATTAAATTTTGCTGATATTTTGTTCACAATCAAGTATTAACAAGATCGTTCCTTAAC